AAAAAGAAATTTCTTTACGTCTCTGCCTAAGAAAATAACATACCTCCCTCACTACTTTTGGATTGCCCTAAGTAAATTCGTAAGTTAGCACAGTTTATTTTTATATTTATTATCATCCAGTGACCTGTTAGTTTATTGCTCATTCATTTATAATTTATTTGCAAAAATAGTTCATTTCAATAGAAAGAGAGACATAAAAGTCAAACAAATCGTTTGGTAAAAGAGAATACATAGAATACAATCATAATATCAAATGCTTTCACAAAATTAAAAAGTCAAGTTGTTCACAAAGAAAAAACAAACCCAGCTAACAAATATAATCCTTTGAAAAAAAAGATTGGATATAAGAATAAAACACAAAAGATCATGTCGATATATTTATTAGTATTTCGTACTTTTTCGCATTTGTTTCAACAAATCCTTTTGAGTTAGAATATGTTTATGAAATTCCTCACAAGAATAATTAGAATTCATTCTTATCGAAAGTTCAGCATGGACAATTTTTATGTCCATTCAATTGCGGTAATCGGACCATAAATGTTTCATATGACTAAATATGGACTCCACATAAGAATTTTAACAAGGAATTGAAAAGATATAACAAATGACTTTTTTCAAATTCGGTGTTCCACTAGGATTAATATTCAACAAATACGCCCATAAATGATCGGATCTGATTAAATTTTCTTCTCGATTGTTGGGCGACGAAATGGTTTCTTCATTGTTTTCAGCATCGTCTTCATCACATACAACAATATAATCATTGATTTTGGATGTAAAAGAATTCATTCTTTGATTCAATATGTACGATTTAATTTGATCATTCAATTTTATACTTTTCTTGTTCAAATCATTATATAAACATTTAATGTCGTTGAATTCGCTATACAATTGATCTCTATCTAAATCGTTCACATGAATTAGATTGACAACATCTTGAACATTTCTCCAAGTAAGGAATTGAAATGATTGAACATTGAAAAATGATAATTTTTTATACAATTCACTGTGGTCATCAAAATAAGATTTAATGTAATCAATGACTGACTGAACAAATGCATCAAATGATTTTATTAATTCTTCAGTTTTAATTTCATTGGTTTCTTTCAAACGATCTAATAATAATTGTGTATTATGACCATAGTATTTGTCGCATAGCTTCTGTTGTAATTTGTCGATTAGCTTGGTAACAATAGAATAAAGATCAACTGCTGTTGTATATGACCGTTGCAATTGCAATTCAGCTTTTTGAATTTCAAAAAGAACATTTTGTAAGAAATATAAAGTACATTGACTTTCATCGTTGGAGAAAAAAGAGTTCAAAAGTTGTTGCACTTTTGTCGATGTTCCTTCATTTAGAAAGAACAACTTAACTGGTTCATATTGATCAAGTAAACGTTCGATTGATCGCAGCAAACTTAACCATCTTGTGGTTATATGTTTTAACAAAACCTTAAGAAAAAACAACATTCAATTCTTGTAGACAGTTTGCTCATTGTATATCACAGACGATATTTAATAACTTACATGAAAATCATATTGCACAAAATCAAAATATTCTTTTAAGTTTTCAACTAGTTTTGCTGATCTTGAAAAATAAGAATACACTTTACAAAGAATTGTTTCAATATCAATTGGTAAATCATCATGTGAATTTTTTACAGCATTATGTAA